TGTGCAGGATCAGCTACCCAAAAGCAGGTCTGTCCTTGGGCTAGGAATGAGAAGGGGACTCATCTTGCAAGCTACTGCTAAGCTCAGAGAAACCATTCTGGGATGCATCTATGTTTGTTGTTCCCAGTAATTAAGAGATGCAATCCATCCAGTTTTCATTGAATTTGTCTTTCTGCTATCATGCATGTCTTTTTCTAACATACCTAATGAGTATGTTATTATTGTTATTTTTGAATTATTAATTCAAATGTTATCAAAGTATGTCATTTGTTCAATAAAGCCAGAATTTTCACTCGTCCACTTATCTGAATGCACTTTCCTGTGACCTGTAAAAGCTTAGTTACAAATTCTACTTCATGTGTTTCAGTTTTTTCCCCCTTCTGATCATTCAGAAGCCAAACAATGGGATCTTTTGTCTTGTCTTTTACAAATTCTGTAACTTTCCCCCAACATATGTGGATCTTTGCATAATGCTTTGGAAAGCACTAACAGCTCTGTTACACCTCCTTGCCTGGGCCACTTTATGGAGTCCTTACATGTTGCCATGTACCATTGAAATATGCATACACACACACACATATCTTCAACGTTATAAATGTTGATGCTTTATTGGCTAAAGCCGTACCTATATATTATGTGGAATAGCAAAGTGTGGAAATCCTCCCCTCTTGCTCATGGTCTGATTGAGTTGGTAAAGAATTCTGGCTTCAAGGCTATCTTTTCAAAGAATATGTAAACATATATGTATATTGAATTTCTCTGTGTTGTCCTTCAGCAGCAATGTGATTTCAAAACTGATCATTTCTATGACACAGTCCAAAAGCCAGTTGAAGTGTTAGCAAAGTACTGATGGTAAAAGCATCTGTGCGGCAGGAGTGACCCCTTGTGGGTAAAGTGTATGCAAGATGCAAACAGCAAAATTTGGACGCTGTTCTTGGTGAAGCATAGAAAATTCTGAGAATCAAACAAATACTATCGAATGTTCAGAGGAATCCACTTTGTTTGATTATTTCATCATGGAATGCTATGAGCGATTACCTTCATCAAACACCTAATTCAGCCTCACCTTTCTTAGTCTTCTGTCTCTCTGGCTGCATCCAGAACAAGGACTCCTAATGACACCGATTCAAATGGAGCTAATCTGTCTTTTTCTCCTTCATGGACTTTCTGTGGTCGAGAAAAAGGTGGAAGATGTGATGGGAACACACAGGAGGGTTACAAGCGGATGGTGTCATAGGGAAGAGGAGTGGAAGAGTTCATGTGGTGTCGTGGTTAGGGTGTTGGACTGGCAATCTGGGAGATCCAGGTTCTGCTCCCCACTTGGCCATGGAGCTCACTGGGTGACTTTAGGCCAGTCACAGACTCTCAGCCTAACCTAATTCACAGGGTTGTTGCCAGGACAAAATGGAGAGGAGGGAAACCTTGTAAGTGCCCCCCCCCTTGCAGGAGGAAAAAAGGAGGGGAATAGATGCGATGTAAGAACAAGAACAAGATCGGCAGCAGCACCATAGAACTCCCATATAATTCCATGAATGAAATACAGCAATGGCACCATAAAAGCTTTGTCTGGAATCAGTCCCTGCTTTCCCATTCAAATGGCCCAAGGCATACCTTATATTCACCAGGGGAGTGCCATTGAAAGCGGCCTATCTCTGGCCATGCAACCCAGTCCTGCAGGTAACATATAGAAGAATATCAGATGTACCTCTGCAGTCATGTTCTGTATCTCTGCATCCATGACTGCAGGAGGGAACACTGGAGACACCAATGATCCATTAATTCCACATGCTGTCGCTGGGGTTTGAATCATTTGCCACAGTCAAATGATCTGCCTCAGCAGAATCCCCACTAGCAGACCTAATACAAGCTCTGGCCCTTAAACTCTTCTATATTCTGTGCAGTATCCACAACACAGGAGCTAAAGATGCTAAATGTTAGGAATATTAATTAGGGCAGCACTTAGATTATTTTTTAATGGATGAGCTAGAGCACTGCCCTTGGGCAACAGATTGAAAGATTGATGTAGGTTTGTGCAGATATTGTCAAGTGATTTTGCTTCATCAGGTGGCAGCCTGCGTTTTAATAGAGGCCTGTAATGGAGCAACCCCCAGAAGGCTATGCGATGGGACAGCATACAAATACTCTAAATAAATAAATAAATAAATAAATGCTTAAAGTGCAATTCTGTGCACGTCTACAGAGAAGTTGATTTAATCTGAATCAGCTGTATCAATGGCAGTCAAATTCCCCTCCCTCTGCTCCCCATGGCAGCTCCTTCAGTTCCTGAGAAACACTACATAGGGGCCAGGTTCACACAATAATGGAGAAAGGATGCCACAGTGAACACTTTCCTCTGCCTGTACATGTGTGCCACGCAAGTTGTCTACTGCTCTCATGGCATGTGGCTGGCCAAGTCTCCCACACCTGGTAAGGGGCACGGTGGGAGGTGCCCCTGAAACCATCCCAGAACCCATGGCTTGCTGTAGGGTTCAGCTGGGGTGGTGGATTGAAGCCACCCCTGGCTACACACTCACTGGGGTTGGGAGATTAGGCATATTGCATGGCACGCACCCACATGCACAGGATCAGGAGAAATCATCCGCCACGGCTCCTTTCCCCTGAGTCAGGAGACCCTACTGACTCAGGATGAACTGTGGTGTATGGGGAAGGCAGGGATCCCCAAAACCTGGGCAGATGAACTTCCCTTCCTCTCACAGGTGGTCCCTTCTTTTTACGGAAGGCAATTCCTGCATCCAACCCATGAATAGCTCATTTCATACATTCATAAAGGGAGCTTTCTCCGCACTGAAAGAGATGAAAGGATTGGTAGAGTGCAGTGAGGTCAATTTGAGCCAGGATTTAACTTTGATGCACATATTTTGTGTGAATCTATGAATCTTCTTTCCTAGTTGCTTTTAAAACAAGGATTCCCTGAAATTAAAAGAATGTTGTTACATTTTGAAAGTGTTTTACCATTTGTTTTATGCTGGAAGTAGGTCAGTCTTAGAACTATTTTACAGATGGAAACCTGAGGCTGACGGCTTCTTTACATGAGGAATTTATTGTGGGTTAGTGATCACTAATGGGAATTTGCAGGTCCATTTCATGATGCAGTTATCCTCCAGGGCCTCTCTGATGTTTCCCAGACATTTCTGCAGCTTTTTTAGAGAGAGGAAAGTTCAACATTATCTCCTGTGGAGCAAGGCAGCAGTAGAAAATGGCTGTGCCCCCTCATGTTTGTTTAACACAGCATTTACAAAGGAAACAAAATTAAACTGCCTGAAAAGGATTTGCTTTTATCCTGTGGTTAAACTGCAGGATAACTGCCTCATGCAGGGAAGCCCTGAGAGATAGGCCCAGAGTGAGCCTGAGGCAAATGGGGGAAACTGCCTCCACTACACATGAACCTACTGGATAAGATAATCTTCAAAGGTCTTTCTGCAGCTCATCTCTCCCCGCCTTTGAAGGTGAGGCTGGTGGTGGCCTTTGAAGGTGAGGCTGGTGGTGATGCCCCGATAGGACCTTTTCAGTGGTCACATTCAAACTCTGGAATACTCCATTTAGGAAGATGGAGCAGTTGTCTGGTGTGTTTTGATGCCCAGTAAAGACCTTTATATTGGCCCAGGCCTTTTTAGCACATTATATTTTTAGACTGTCCTTTTAACTTGGTTTGGTGTTTATGTTTTCTGACCACACCTTTTGCATTTATTCTATCATTATAGTTGTTTTAAGGCACAATCCTTTGCCTATTTAGTCAAAAAAGGCACATGCTGGGAACTGTAGGCCTTTCCTTTCTTTTCTTTCCTTTAACTTGCATGGGACTGCACCCTCCCTGTTTGAAACTTGTTAGCCGATAGTCACTGTGTAAGACCAGAGATGTTCCCAGTACATATCTAATAACACACTAGCCCCAAACCCATCTCTTTCTCACTGGATCATCAGTCATGGGATAAGAAAAATTCCTCTTCTGCATCAGTAAACAGTCAGTTTAGAGCAGGAAGCAGGCAATAGGAATACATTGGCCATTCTCACAATGAAGGAATGTGAACTGCAGGGTCCCACAATGATCTGGATTGAGACCAGTGATTGTTAACTTGCTTATACATGATTCTGAATTAGGGAGAGCAGTGTGGTGTCCAAGTTTGCAAATGAAACCAAGTTATTCAAAGTGGCAAAAACCATAAGGGGATAGCAACATAACTCCAAACTGGATCAATGGATTCTAAAATGGCAAATGTGGTTCAGTATAAATAAGTACAATGTGATGCATGTTTTCCAAATTTTAGAGTGCCCAGAGGGAGACTAAGCTGGCAGTAAGATCTTTATTGTAAGCCATTCCGAGACATTCTGTAGGGGACGGAATAGAAAATATTTCAATAAAATAAATAAATCTTGGGGTAGTGGTGATAGACCAGTAAAAACATCTGCTCTGTCTGCAGCTGCTGTAAAAAAGGCAAATGCACAGGAATCAAATTAAAACAAAATTGGGCTTAGAAATAAAAATAAAATTGCCATTATGGAAATTGCAATTATACAAATCTGTGCTGGGATCACACTTAAAATAAAGGATATTGAGGAGGTGAAGGTGCAGTAAATGGCAATCTGAATGATCAGGGTTCAAACAAATCCTTTATGAGGAAAAATTGCAATGCACGAGTGTTTTAGCTTTTAGGATTTTTATTTTAAAGGCAAGGAAAGGGCACACGATCTTAAGAATGCTGAGAAGCAAGTCTCATAGAACTGAATGGCAACACTAGAGACAGTCTGAAAAAGTGGCCATTTTCCTAGCGCAGGGTTTTACAAGCAACTGCTTCCTGCTTTTCCACTTTGCCTCCAAAGCAAGGAATGCATCGCTAAAATCTGCTCGCGAATATGCTCAGCACCACAAACCGGGACGATTAAGCTCTCAAAAACTACAGTTCCCGAAAGAGCCTCACGAGAAGTCAAGCGAGATTCTCCCCCGAGAGAGAACGTGTTTCTCACTCTGCGCACGCGCGTTGCATCCTTTCTGCCTTTCTACCGGCCCCTGCGGGTGTCATGGAGGCCGTAGTGGTGAGTAAGCCGGGCCTTTTGGAGGATCGCGTGTCATCCTTTCCTGTCGTCGCTCCTAAAAAGATGCCAGGCTGTGATATTTGTCCCGCGAGTTTTTGTACGTCCTTGTGAGAGCTTATTAACTGGCTGACTTCCCTATAACTAAGCTCGATCGTGATACAAAGCATCGGCTGCCCCATTTCCCGTTTTGCCTTTTCGGGGGTCGCAGCTGTCTTGTGGCAAGTAAAATGGGCAGCGAGTCTGCCTTCTGCAAGCTGCGAAAGGCGCGTGTGTTAATCTGCTACCTGCCTGTTTTGTTCACTTTTCTTTCTCTTGCTTTTTCTGCAGGTGGAGGACGAGCATGGAGGGGAATGATGAGCCCTGAGCTTTCTCTTGCAGTGAGTGTGAAGGGTTTTAAAAGGGGCTTTTGGGATGGTGCACAATACACGATGTTGGCTCCAGAAAGTCTAAGGGTAGGTCGGTGAAGTACACTTAATACATACAAGTAATCCCGGTTTTCTCTTACGCCAGCGTTTCAGGAACTTACACTGTTGGAAACCTTTAAAGTGTGCCCATATTTCTAAAAACAAAGTAACTGCTACTGATGACAGAGAGCAGCACATCCATGACAGTTCCAGGGGTTCACTTGTTTATGCAACTTGTTAATATGATCTGACAATTTCCTGTCCAGCATCCACTGTTGTGTGTTGATAATGGATCACTGCAAGTGGGCAATCGGGAGTAGTTTTAGCAATGGCCAGGCTGTTTCTGCAGCCCAGCTTTCATGGGTCGTACATACAGTCAATGACCAAGAAATTTTGTGTGCCTTCGCCTTTGGAGAGGTTGACTTGAACTAGGGGACACCTCTTGATGCTGAGTTTTGTGGGTGCCCTCTGGCTCTCTTTTCACATAGATCTTACACGTGGCATGAAGAGGCAGATGATTCAGAGAGGTCAGAACTCCCATCATTTGCGAAGGCTTCATTGTCCTCCAGCAGTGTTCCCTTCAATGAGTTGAGAGGGAGGTGGGTAGGGTAGCATGGTGACTCCCAACTGGGGAAGGCTCGTGTACCTGCTGGGGTGGTGCTGATCCCACCTTAGTGATTGGAGCTCGGTGTCAGGGAACAGATATGGTTCTGCTCGACCATGGGAGGGAAGAACAAAGGTTGTGGACTTTGCAGATCCTCATTCAGACAGAGATGTGAATGGTATTACAGTAGTGGGCAATTTTTGGCTGTCCAGATGTTTTGGCCTGCAACTCCCATCAGCCCTAGTCAACATAGCCAAAGGTGAGGGATGATGGCGGTTGTAGGCCAAAACATTTGAGGTGTAGGAGACCCATGTGCTCTCTTTTGAAGAGGACATTTCCTTGTTTGAAGGGTTTCATTTTATTACATTTGTATGCCACCCCATAGCCCATAGGGCTTTCTGGGCAGCTTACAATAGAACAAAAAAGGGGGGGGGAATTACATGTTCCAAATAAATATGCCCACATTTTCCAGTCCTGTCCCACTAAGATTAAAACGAACATCACACATCTCATAAAATATAACCCCCTGTATTTTCCTCACTTTGTTTCACAAAATTCACAATTTTCACAATGTATCCTGCATTATTGTTTTATCTTAACCACATTTTAGTAAGAAGATGTCCGTGATTAACAGATAACAAAGTGTAATAGATTATAGGCCACTACAGTAGGGCCTTTTTCATCTTACTAGCATATGCCAGTTAGACTAACATCAAACAATACAAAGTTCTCAACTTGCCAATTCATAAGCGTGCTACTGCAGAATTTCTAACTTAAGTTCCGTTTATTATTTCCTGAGCTTTCTTGGATCTTGATAACTGACTTTAACCATATTAAAGATGGTGTAGGACTCCTCTGTTTGATGGGAGTTGTAAGCAAAAGCATCTGGAGGGTCTTTAGTTGCCCACCCTTAGTACAGTTGCTTATTTGCTAGTGTAGGTTCAGTGCCAAGTGTCTTATAAAGTGGAATCAAAAAGTGTATAGATGGAGGTTAACAACAGAAATGTTCCTCTGTCCACCTGCTACTTTGCTAAACTATTGCGGTGTCCAGTAGATGTCACTGTTAGGAAGAAGCACGTTTTGGCAGAAGGAGGACAGGAAGAGCCAAACTGACATGGTTTTGCTACGTGCGGATTGTCAGAGTGCACACAGCAAAAACAAATGTGTTTTCTTCTTGTAAAGAGCTGAGCTTGTGATGACACAAAAAGTTATCCCTGTCTGAAATGGAAGCTTTTCTGACTTGTGGAGTTGTGGATTCTGAAGCTCAGTTTTGGAGGACTCTGAAAGTAGCAGGAGAGCAAATTTGAACAGCTAATGCTAATCTTTTGTCTGTCCTATTCCCAGGCTGCATGTTTGTTTGCCAAGCAAATCTTAGCAGAGAAGGCGTGAAGATGCAGTTTCCTCACATAATGATGTATGTAAGAATAAAGTATCACATCCTCAGAAAGATGGTGTACGTGTCAGCCATGTGGTGTGCCTTTCTGATTAATATACCCACTGGTGAGTATGTGTCTATGATTGTGTTGCTTGATCTTCTTCTGGGGTTGCAGTGAGTCTGACTGCCCCAACAGGAGACGTCCATGAATTCCACCTGCTGCTGTGCATTGTTTCTTTATGTGGCTGTCTCCAGACAGGCTCCGTGGAGCTGTATTTGGCGAAGGACTGCAGACTAGAACGAGTAACTGAGAACGGCCACTGGAAGGCATGGGTCTCTAATTTGCCTTCGGAAATTTCCGAATGCCAGTTGGAGCGTGTTCAACCAAATATATAATGGCTTACACGCTGATTTTCACGAACCGTCTCTAAATAACAGAAAAGTATTTTCCTTCTAAGTGGTCCCAGCCTTGCACTGGCATAAGCTGATTCCACTCTTCTTTCTACCCTCAGCTGCATAAAAATCTGGTGACTTGCAAAATGGCCATGCATTTACATTCCTATGAGAGACTGAGCTATGGTTTCTGTAAAATACCAGGGGCCCTGTTATCTCACAAATGCACATTGAAGTCCCTCAGAGCACCCAACTATTGCCTCAGGTGATTCGGGTGGAAAAACCTCTATTATCTCAGTAATTCTGGACTAGGGTTCAGAAGATCCGGGTTCTAGTCCTCACCTGGCCATGAAGTTCACTGTCTTGTCAGCCTAACCCACCTCACGGGGTTGTTGGTTGGGAAGACAACGTGGAGCAGGGAGAACATAATAGGTTTTATACGAACAGGGATTCAAATGCCTGGTTTGGAGAAGGGGAAGCAGTTGAATGTGATCCAAATTTGTCAATGGATTGCACTGACCATTCGGAAACTCAGTTGGCTACTGTGGCATGTGTTCAATCCTGCAAGCAATTTCTCAGGACCCAGTATAGGCCCTGGTTTTCCCATGGCCCTCCAATGTGCTGTAGTGGTTAAGAATGAGGGTTTGGCACAGGCTGGGTTCTAGCCGCTGCTCAGCCATGGAGCCCACTGGGTGACTTTGGGTCAGACTCAGCCCAACCTGCCTCACAGGGTTGTTGCTGTGGGGATGAAACAGGAGGAGGAGAAAGAATGATGAAACTGCTTTGAGTTCTTTGTAAGAAAAAAAGTGGGATATAAATCTAATAAATATTAGATCTGGAAGCACAATGATTTGTGGTTGCTTTTCAGAGGGAAAAGCAATCCTTGCCTGTTGCTTAGTGTTGTAAAAGCAGCATGGGAGAGGGAAATGGGGATGAACACATAGGGAAGAAGGTGGTGTGGCAGTCTGTGTGCATCTGGGTGACATAGTGGACTCTGTGGTGTTTCAGAAATCAAATGTTCAGACTTGCACAGCCACTGAAATACATTCCCATGAGGCCATTTTGCAGCTCACCTGAGTGTTAGGCAGATAAGGACCGATGTGAGGGTGGCAGCAACTTATGGATACCACTTATCCTGATGCAAGGCTGCAGCTGCTTGGCGGGGCAGTGCTTTTCCCCTTGGTCTTTTGAAGGCAGTCCCTGAAAATCATGGTGTAAGCCAGCCTTGTTTCAATGCACTCTAACATCCTTCAGAAAATGAGTGTGCATCTGTGCCTACCTAGAAAGCATCAGTGCTTTCCAGTGATTATTCTCTTGTCACTTGTTCTAGTGTGTCCCAAAATCTTTGCCCAGGTCCCCGCCTGCCTGTCAAAATAAGCAGTACTGGGCAAGAGGGACCGACCAGTGGGCTGATCCGGCGCAAGGCAGCTGTGGAAGCAGTTGTCCTTCAGCTCATGGCTGTACTTAGTATTTGGACTTTACACAATCACTGCTTATTTATTTACTGGGGTTTGGAAAGTGCCTTTCCTTCTGTAATACTGTTTGTCATCATATTTCCTCCTCTCTGCATGCTTATCTTCCCCACTGTAGAGCCAGAAGCATAGCCTGAGGTCAGAACAAATAGTGATATTCTAGCGGAAGCCTGTAGGGCATGAGGGACAGCTTCTGGGCTGTGTGTTTCTTGAAGCAGATTAGGTGATCCTGTTTATATAAAAGAAGGTGCATTTACTCCACTGAGTTACATCACTCGAATGCTCTTCTGGAACAAGGAAAGATGGCTGGCATCCTATTAGACAGATGCTTCTCTTACAAGATTCCCTGTCATAAGACTAGATGTACCAAATGACAAACCATTCCAAGTGTTGTTGAGTTAGCAGATTGCCACCTAAAATCATTCCTTGAGTAGACTGAGGTCAAACAAGACATGATTCTAAGCACATTTATTAATTGTGTGTTGGAAGTTGCCCCTTCTCTTTTCAAATAGCAGCTGGTATTTGTGGATCTGGGTCAAAACTGGGAAAGGGTTTGACTTTGTGTCATCTTTCTGCTTTAAAAAATCCTCTTTTTTCCCTGGTAACTGCTATTTCTTCTGATTGAATTTGGTTTTAAATCATTGTGCTTAGCAGCCATTGAGGAGAGGAATTCTCATGGGAAAATGGTATGGGAGAGGGAGGGTCAACTGATCCTGCAGCTGCTTTTTATGAGCAAAATCATGGCCAGCTGCAAGCATACAATTCAAAGATGTGCTCAAAGTCACGTTGAGTTTGATCCTGAGTTGGAGAGAACTACGTAAGACATGCCAGCGATAAATCCAGATGGCCAAGCCAGATGGCAAATTGTCTCTAGAAGTTCTGCTGATTTGCAAATGCAGTTTAAAAAACTTTTTCAGCCTGGTTGGCTGCTATGTGAGCGAGCCACATGGTCACCAACCTACCACAACTGTGAGGAAATCATAAACTTCCATTTTTAAAAAAATGATAGTTAACTAAATTGGGGCATGATGACAATTGTTGCTTGTATAAAAGCAAATGAATTTGATCCCTTCCTCACAGCTGCAAAAAGGAGAAATGCTGAAACCCAGTGAAATGATCTTGTGGAGGGGGGAACCATGACTTCCTGTTTGTACCTGAACCAGGCCTATAGGATTGCAGAATGGAAGAGGGGGTTTTTGGCAACTATATTGCAATATGAAAATTGTTGCATTATGGATGCTTTGGGTATTTCTTCCCGACCACCATTCTTCAAATTTAGTTAACTGCCACCTAGATGTGTTACGAAGGGGGAAATACCCCCAGATCAAGCAGGGGCACCTTTGTGAGCCAAGTTCTGGGTATTTGGGGATTCCTTCCTTCTCCCTGCATTGCAGCCTACTCTAGTCAGCAAGGTACCCCAACTTTCTATGTAGAGTTTTGGGGGTCTGCATGTATCTAAATCTGGATTGAGCCCATAATTCTGATAATGAGTTAAAACAGCTTCCCCTTCAAATTTGATTCCTGTTCCTTGCAATACTAAATTGCAGTGGAGGATTAAGAGATTTTAAATTGCTGCTTGAGAAAATTACTTAGTTTGTGGAATGCAGAACACTTTCTGGACTTCAGAGTACACTTTCAGACTGTGAGTTTCAGACTGTGACTCAGATGTCCGTCCTTGCACATTCTTACAGGTGGACCTGATCAGAAAGAAATATTTCATTTGTGTTTCACCCTTCTCCCAAGGAACCCTGGTATTACTGCATTTTAATGTTGCAGTATCCTCGTGAAGCATGTTAACCTGAAAGATTGTGATCAGCCAGTCACCCGGTGAGCTTTGTGATTGAACCTATAGGATTTCCTGGTTGAAATCCAACACCTAGAGCCATGCAGGCTTGACCTGCTTGGTAGAGATGGCAAAGACATGAGGACTCTCTGGGTCAGCTTCTCTGCCTAGGGCGATCACACTCCTCAACGCATTCAGCGAGCGTTCTATTTTCAAATTACAGTGTGGGCAAAGGGTCAAATGGGTAAGAGCTTTTGGGTTGCTGATAGGACATACAGTGACTTTGTTGAGCAACTCAGGTAAGTGAAGACTGCTCCACTGTGCTGGACAAGGCAAAAACTCCTGACTAGTCTGGATTCTCCCCACGAGCCAAGAATACAAGAAGCAAATCTTGATCAAAAGAGCAAAATCTATCTGTTGGTTGAAACACAACCAGTAACTTTGGGCTAACCACTGTTGTTTAGCCTAACTTAACCAATTTCACAGAAAACAACTTGGCCACCACAAAGGACACATTTGATATGTGTACAATTTTTCAGATCAGTCACCACCTTGAGTTCTTTCTCTGTCCCTTAAAAAAAGCCTGTGATGTGATGTTATCCCTGTCTGAAAATTCAGCTATGAGGGAAATGAATATCAACTGAGGCCTGTCCATTTCATTTTCTCCCAGTTGTCTTCATGGCAATCGCTTGCCGTAGCCTAAATTGATTTCTCCATGTAAACTCAAGGTAGCTGTGACCACTGCATCCTTCCTGCAGCAGTGTGTGTCAGCATTTGTGGAGTGCTCTGGGGCACCATGCATTGCTGAACATTTGAAATTAGTAGCTTTTATTGTATCACTGTAGTGCCCCATGAAAGGCGTTCCTTAAGACTCCAGAGAAACAGAACCACCATGTTCCCCAGTTTCCTGTTTCATAAATCAGAGACTCTTAGAAAGCAACAATATTGAAGCATATCTTGGAAGCAAAGCACTAGCGTCTGCTTGCTGGCAGTGGGGCAGGCAGAATTCCATGTGCAGTGTGAGAAGGGATAACATCAAGCTGGTCAGGTCAGTATTTTGATACATGGGGCTCTCTAGCCATCCATTGCTCAAGTCTCTACTACCTCTCTTACCATACTACCAAACTGGGAGAAACCTTTGCTCACTGTTAAAGTACTCCGTGTCAGTGGGAGAACTCTTGAGCATTGCAGAGCATCCTGTTCCCAAATGTAGTCCCTACATGCAGGGCAGACCTCTTGGGCCTCCCTGGTGGCCAAAATGATCCACGTGTGTACCACACAGAACGTACCCAAAGATCGTCAGAAGTGATGAGCAAGCTGTCTTCCAGGGGAACCAGTGCCTGTTGGTTCCTGTTAATAATCTTCCTGAGGAACTCCGGATGAGCTGCCTGGGTATACCAGGGTTCCTTGAAATGCGGTTTGTATCTCTCTGTGCGTCTGCCTGCCTGTGTGGATGAGCAGGACATCAGAATACTGAGCATTCTCCCTAGCCTTTTGTATAGCCAGAGAGTTTGCTTCCTGGTTGGGGAGACACCTTTGTCTATCACCTCTTTTCCAGGTACAACACGGTGGAAAGAACCCAGACCAACTTTACTTGATGCTGTGGTGTCACTTCCTTCATGATGATGGAGCCTCTTTGGAACCATGACACTATGGGACCGATGTGCAGGGATTTCTATTTCTCTGCTGCTTCCCCACGAGGAGAAGGGTTGAGAATAAGATTCTAGGGGACTGCAAGTTGTTAACTCATTAGTAAGGATCTGCCAGGTAAGGACTTCTATCCCTAGCCTGCTTGTTGAATTGGGTTCTTCACTTCTTTCTTAAAATCCATCTTAGCAGAATAGCCAAGCTTTCTCAGGGTGCTCATCAGACAGCAGGTGGGTGGGAAGAGGCCTTTGTACGTGTATGCCTTTGCACAACTTTGCCAAGCGAAGAATGGCAAGTGTTGTTGAGCAGATTCCACCCCTCCAGCAAGTGCCTTGCAGTGGTCTGCACAAAATCGTTTTTGTTGCACCACGTGTAGGTGTCTTAAATGTCACATTCTTGGCATGCTTTCATGTTGGTTTCACTAGAGCCGTAACATGTTGAGGAATGAAAATCTAAGCCTGCCAACCCTTGGGATTGTGCACATACAATTAGAAGGACTGACTTGGCATGCAAAATCAAGGCAAGCAGTGTTGGTGCAAGGTAGATAAGAGGCAGTTGGGGATCTGGGGGCTACACTGTGTCTGCAGCATCAGAGTAGCACTTGGGCCAGAGACACAAACCGGTCTGCGGACAATGCAGAGACGTTGGAATATTTGTGAATGATTCAGAGTTCTAGACTCTAGTTGTTGGTGTCAGTTTGAGAATACATGCAAATGGTTTGAGGAGGAGTTTAGGCCTTACTTGGGACAAACTGTTACTTTATGGGACCCAACTAACTCTGGATGCTTTTGCTCATGGCATTTTACCGATTGCTTTGAGAAATGAAGTGGGTTTACTCCTTCATATGCTCTGAGCATGAAGCAATACCAGCATTGGAAAGCAATGCAAGAAATGTAGTAAAAATGAATGCCTAAATAAAAGAGAACTGTGTTGTCTTGTTACACCAACAAATCTTGTTTGTGATATTTGGAGGGCTGACATCATATTTTAATGAACTTTTATTTTTCACCAGGTGTAACAATATGAGTGGCATGCAGTCCAGCAGTAGAGTATTTTTATTACAGGTAAGCTTGATTTTTTTCCCTCTGTGTTGGAAAAAACATCCACAGAAAAGGAGGAATCATGCAGCTGTGCAGACTAGTTGGAAGCCTCCATTTCATAACTGCATGTTGTGCCTCTGGGCCTTTGTCCACATTGCCTGTTCAAGCCCAGCTGTAATCAGGCTTAGAGTAGAAACACTGAAAATAAAAAAACAGATTGGGACAAACTTAAATAATTGACTTTAGTGGGACTAAGCGTGATTAACATCAGGATTCAACCCAGTATCTTTGTGGCTCATAATTTAATGAGCTTAAATGGTTAGCTTTGATTAGCATCGTAAGTGTCATTTGTCCCTGGTACAGCCCCCACCTGGGGGACCATACTGGTTTTCCCCTTGGCACAAAACCATGTGGTGTTTGTCTAGATAGTGTGCATGATGCATTTTACTAAAGGTAAGCTTGTGTTAGGGAAGCTAAGTGGAAGGTTAAGGCCAGGGAAATTGGTGGACTTGGTCCTCATTGCTAGGGCCAAATGGCCAATCTCTGCTCTGGGCCAGGGAACAACCTGTATGCTGCTGCAACGGATGCTGTTGCCTGCTCTGCCATTCCATTTTTTCTGCAAAAGAAAAGATGGGGAAAGTGGAGCTTACTTAGTCGCAAAGTCGTGCCCCACCCATCACAACCCATGGACAGCATTCCTCCAGGCTCTCCTGTCCTCCACCATCCCTCTGAGACCGACCAAGCCCACACCCACTGCCCCAGTGACTCCATTTGGCCACCTCACCCTCTGCCGTCCCTCTCCTTTTGCCAAGTGGAGCTGCTGCAGCACAAATAAAGAGGCTGGGCTGGGATAATGAGAGCGGCCCTGCTGGGTCAGGCCGAGAGGGCCATCTAGCCCTCCTTTTGGTTTCCCAAGAGCAGTCAGCCCCCCGTGTTCTCCTGCAAGCTTGCAGACATGTCGTGAGGGCGCCTGGCCTGGCCTGGCCTGTCCGCCGGCCAGTGGCTTTCCCCAGCGCTTGCTATGCAGAACCGCACTGCCTGGGAACTTGAAGAGGTTCATTTGAGTTGTCGTGGTTCACAGCTGTTAACAGATATATCCTTCATGAATTTGTAAAATCCAAGGTTACACAACCTGCAGTCCCCCAGTTGAAGTACAATTCCCATCAGCCCCATCATGGCAGGGTCAGAATGATGGGAATATTAGGCCAAAGCATCTGGAGTGACCCAGGCTGGGGAAGACTACTTTAACGCATCTAAGCTATGCTTTTCATGACAGCTCTTGGCAATGAGTCGCTCACATTATGGGTCAATTACACCTTAAATTCAGGATTGATCACAGCCCTGAAATGGTGCCCGTGATCCTTGTTGGCTGATGGTGGTTCTGTATCATGCATACAAGAATGGCTGCAGTAACTGACAGGAAAGGAAGCTTTCCCTCCTGCTGGTGAACTGTGCCCAGCCATACAGACTGCCAGCAGCTCACAAGATCAGGTTGTAAGTCAGAATGGTGAAGAAGATGCTTACAGCAGTACCATATGATGGGGCAGCTGTAGGCAAAGAGCAGCATCTTGGGAATGGTGTCTGTTTCTTAACCTGGTCAGAGATTGAATTAAGAACATGGCTGTTGCTCTGGGTTTGGTTAAGCTTTCAGAAATCTGTACTGCAAAGCATCCTCAAGATAGCATGCTTTAAAGCTTTTTTTAGGATGAGCCCTTTTGAATTTTGGTCATCAAAAAAATTTTGGTCATCCTCATTCTGTTTGACAGCCCCCTATCTTCACTACTCTTCATTTTACTCTCTCCCTGTCTCTTTACCTTTTATAGGTGCTGGTTTCTGAACAGAAGAGTTTCAAAGTGCTGTCATTCTAGAGCAGTTTTCCTGCATGTACAAAAGAATATAGCAAACTGTCAGAAATGACGAGTCTGTGTAATTTTTTGTGGCCACTAACAGGGCCAAAGCAAAGATTAAAGAATTTTCTTACCTTCAAGGGAGTTGAAGTTTGTGAGAGCAAGTGAAAGTGTGGGTTGTGTTTGTATGTCCCCATTTACAACTTTACAGTGTTGGGCTTGCTCAGAAACAGCAATCAGTTTCCTTGTGTTCTCTTAGACCTACTGCAGGGTAAGTGTTCAGAGAATGCCAGCCCTGATTGCTGATTCCAAGCTGCAAGTAGACCGTAAACTGCTAACATCCAGTGATTGTCAAATATCTTTGCCAGGGGAAGCATTCCCTGTGGCCTGTACCTTCAAGAGTATCTTCAAGATGGCCAAGGGGCCCTCTGCATCACAGCTCTCTGGACCTTTTCTTCACATGCGCACTGTTCAGATGGGGCACTTGATCCATGCTTATCCTTGCTCTTATCGCCACTCGACTTGAAAGTGTTCCACTTCATGCTGCCCTGTGGCTGCACAACGCAGATGGAAAATGGGTGGCTGACAAGCTGCCTGAAAGAAGGTCATTTGCCACTGCACATCCTTTGATTATGGGAACGCCAATCACTTCCAGGGATCACAGGGTGAAAACCGCAGCTCAGACCAGGGCTGTGTTAACGTATCCTGTCCCTTGCTCGTTAACTGGAAAGAGGAGTCTGAAAAGCGGCACAGCCTCTCAGGTGAGGGGTGGAAACAGTTGTGGGGCCTCAGCAAAAAGCAATCGCTAGTAGCTTCAAAATCATTGGAAGATTTGCTGGCGTTCACCTTTTGTCTCTGTCAAGGTTTATCAAGCTGCTACTAGTTCTCTTTCATGTAGTGCTGACAGTTGTCGAGATTGCTTGTTCTGGTTGCTTTATCCAAGAAGAATGTTTGGTCGTGTAAAAGATTGCTTGCTACCGGCTTGACCAGGCCTGCAGGCAGGAATTGCACGTGGTTGTGGGGAAATAGCATTTGACCTTGCCCCAGGGCAAGAGCTCTCTGCTGCCGGTCTTGATTGTAAGACATGATTGTGTGTCTTGCTCCACCTCCTGCAATTTTCTGGCCCACTTTTAATTAAGGGGAAAGTAGCCTGAGAACAACATTTGCAATGAGAGCATTGTGAAAATTTCTCACCCCCTCCCCCAGCATAGTTTCAAGACTACGTCTGGTTATGTGGGGGTAGAAATTCTTAACTAAAGTCTACATCTTGCCAAGCCAGTTTTTGTGCTTTTGACAAGACACAATGGGGAAAAACTTCGATACTCGTGCACTTGTGGGGAGGAAACGATAATTTTGGAAGGCTTCTGTAGCTCCAGGTTGATGGCATCTTTAGAGACATTCTTGATCGGTTAGGACAGCTTTCCCGAACTGTATGCCCTCCAGATGTGCTGGATTGCAGCTTCCATCATTCTCAGCCTTTGGGTGTACTGGCTGGGAATGGAGGAAGCTGCAGTCTCACACATCTGGAGGGCACCAGGTCGAGGAAGGGAGGTTCGGTGGCAGACGGCTCGTCATACAAATCCATCGAATGTTCTGGCATAGAGTTGGAGGTGGGTTCCCAGAGCCGAAAGGGAACTGACCCAGCAAAGATGTATGACGGCCAGGGAAACACGCTTCTTTTCACACTTCCGTACAGCATAGCATGGCAGATAACTGGTGGTGATGGGAGCTCTAGCCCAACCCAAATATGGCTTGAGGTTACGGGGATGCCGTTTTGTAACGATCAACAAACGAAACCTGCAGACTGCGACACACTGGATGCTACGTCAAACGGGTTCAGATTAAGAGACTGGGCCCTGGGGAGGCCATGCCTGCCACACGCACTAGAATTGCCTAAATGGGCCCTGGTTCTTTGGTACGGCTGCGTGCACGGATGTCATTCAATTTTAAGTGGCAGCAGGAAGGCATTGTAAGACTTGACCCCAGATAGCTGGCTTGCACTGAGTGGGATCGTGCAGGATGTCCCTGAAATGCAGGTCTGAAATAAATAACGCCCCAGAAATAAAGGTCTGTATAGGCTTTTCTGAATAAACCAGGCAAGGGCAGCCGTGAGGTACTGGCTGTAGTCAAAAGAAGTACTGGAATGTAAAGATAAGCCAATGGAAAACAATGAAACCCTTTCAAGTAGGTTTGCATTCGTTTCTTCTGAAACGTAGGCTGTGCTTTTCTGCTGTCGCTGCTTTGTAAAGGGAGGCTTGAAGAATGGGAGTCCATTAATGTTTGGCAGGACAATCTGAACGTCCTTGGTTCACTAGTCAGAGAATCTTCTGCGTTCTCATGATGGGTTAGCATTCTCCCCTTCGCCATAACAGCCTCTGGTTCCCTCAGACCGAAGCAACTTTCCTTTGTGTGGTTACGTCTACAAATAGTTTCTGATCTTGACAAACCACTTGAGATTCAGAGAATATATCCATGTCCTTCCATCAGCTAGCAAGGATAGGTTTAGCTGTCAGAATGCAATCCTGTGCGCACACTGCTGGCCCTAAGCCTTGTTGAACCCAGTGGGACATACCAGATTGCATTTTTCATCCTTAAATGTCCTGCAGCATAAAGAATTCCTATGCCATGGAATCCTTTTCAGACTTGAAGGCTAATAACTGATTCTCAAGACATCCCAGGAAAGCTGGTAAGCTTGTGGAAAAGGATCTTGCCTCCAACTCTGATGAGACTGGCCCATGTTTTTAAGAGTCTTGTAAGGGTTATCCAGTATATCTGCCTGATCTGCTGGTGGCATGATGGGGTTCGGTGCCATCTCTGTCTGATCGCTTAAGACCCTCTTGCTGTAACTACATGTAGTCATCTTGGCTTTAACATCAGGCACTTATTTCCCCCTCAGCGCACCCCCTTCTGCTAAGTTATCTCCATGCATGATGGAGAGTTCTGAAGAACCTGAAAGCTTGCACCACAGAGTTTTGTGACCTTGGAGTTGACATAATAAAGCTGTTGAGCTAAGAAGAATGCAAGAGTTCTTTTGTAACTTCATTACAGAGATACCTGATGCAAGTATACCTTTTGAGTTGAATTGCCCAATGCTACCTAAAGCATCTGCTCCCATTCCAAAGATGAATGCGTTGCAGCTCTTGCTTATCGGCTGGGTTGCTTGCATTTCTTTGTGCCGCCTGTGCTGAGAGTCTGCCCATGGCAATTCATGTACATACCAGGAGCACAAGGACATTGCTGGCTCATAGCCCTGATGCCCTTGCAAACCATGGAGGCTGCCAGCCACACAGAGGAGAACTGCTATTCTCACGAGATTGTGAAAATAGTGGGGAGCCAGAGAGGAGTGCTGGTTTGCTGAATAGGAGAAGTGTGATCTCATGGAATGGGGCTCCAGTCTTGAAGCCGTCTCACCACAGGCTGCCTCTAATCCCCTCAACACACCTGGTTCAAAGTAACAGGCCGTACCACTCTTTCCTTTCTTTGCACCAGCTTGGCATCCTGCTTACTCAACTTGAATTGTTTAGCTGTAGGGGAGAAATACGGCATTTTCTCCTCCCCTGCATGCCCCCTGCCCCGGCCTCACGCCCACACGACAAAGAAACACACAAAGGAGAAAAGATCATTCAACATTTATGCAATTATACAAAGTGGGAAAATGTGTCAGGTTACCCTCCACCTTTCCCCATTGTGTGTGGCTACCCTCCGTCTGTCACTAGGCACTGTAAGTTTCCTGCAGAACAAGACTGACCTGATGCTGATCTCTTGGTTGCTATTTATGCTTAATTATCTCCGAAACACCAGTGGGAGGTCTGTAAGGTAACTTGTGTCAAGAAGAGCTCTCTCTTTGCTTCTTGATGGCTAATTGTTGTTTAATTAGCTTGAGTGGGAATGTTACCCCATGTGTGCAAGGCACAGGAGTCAAAAGCTCACAGTGACCCCAGTGGTACTGTACACGCAGGTGCTGCTCCCAGCGCCATTGGCCTTGAGAAGCCCATGTGATTCCCATGGACAAACTCATCTGCGCCCCTTCCTTCAGATGCTCTGCAAGGGACATGCTCTGGGATTGTGGGTCCTTATCCTTTCTATGCAGAACAATATTGTTCCTACCCTTCTCCAGACATGCCTAATCCTGATGTCCTCACCCTTTCACAAATGACTTGGGATAAGGGATTAGGTGCCTATGTTGAGGATTATAGATGGAACCCTCCCCGCCCCCAGTAGAACCTTGTCTTTCAGTCCTTTAGGAGGAAAATATAAATGCTAGAATAGTTTTGGTTTAATCCAATATTGTTTCTGCTTGGACAAATGAGGCTGGAGGTGAATCATCGGCGGTATTTTATCCCTTACAGCAGGGATCAGCCATGTGGCACCCTCTTGTTTTTGGCCATGGGCTGTACCAACAGGGGATGATAAGAATTATCCAGATCATTAAAGGACACCACTTTGTCTACTTCTGCCATACAGCTGCAGGGCTGTATTCGATTAGCCTTCCCACCATGGAAGGACCAACAGCAGTGGGAGAAGGAGGGAAGGTCCCCCTCCCCCTGCAGCCCTCCCCTCAAAGCTTGTTCACAAGTACTGTGAGGGGTCTTCTGGAGCAGACTGGGGGACTATAGAGGGTGGGAGACTTGGGGAAAGGCCATTGTGTGAGTGGAAGTCTGCTCAGCGTTGTCTAGGATGGGTGGATGTAGTCCTAGGTGAACATCCCAAGTAAATGTGAATGTCTGAAAAGTCAGAGATCTGCCTAAACATGATTTGGCAACATGAGGGGTTATAATGGAAAAAATGAGGATATGCTTGGGAAATTCATTTGGGATTGTCAGCATTCACAAAAAATACTAACATTTGCCAAATTCACCAACTCTAGGCATTCTTGAGTTAAACTAATTTCAGATAGGCTTTAGCCTGCTTGTGGAATGGAAACTGCCTTGGTCTCCCCATGGAACAATCCATGTCAAGACATGGAAGGAGGAATGTGATCTCTTGGACCTCTTGGTGACCATGGTATACTTTTGGATAGAACCTCTGGGCTGGGATTTAGAGGTGCTGGTCTGCAGTGGTTCCACTCCAGAGTGCTGGACCACACGCACCTTTAGTGTGATCCAGCTTTGTTGTTGTTGTTGTTGTTTTCATGTTCTTCTGTTCTAACCTTTGGTCTCAACCAGCAGGCTCATTTCGCTTTCCTTTTCAGTCCCTCTGTACACAAGCAGAGCAATGAGGCAGTAAAAGGCTGTGCCATTCAGACCTTGGATGGAAGGTGCCATTTTTGAATGCTTCTCTGCGCGATAAAAAGTCCCTGCATATAGAAAGCTGGCACAGTGGGGAGAAGTATTCTAAGACAAGCTTCCTTCCTTTTTTTTGTTATAACAGGGTTCCTTCCAGTCTAGCTGCAAAGGCTTGAAAGTGTGTGCTCTGATGAACTTTCTCATAGATGGAGTCAGAAAGCTTCTTGATGAGAAGGAACACCATTGTGCAAAAATATAAACAAAAGTGACCCGATTCCCAAAGCGAACAATGTGATGCCCCAGAAGTGTCCAACAAGGGAAGGGGTGGTGCGCTGGAGCAGCATGTGCCCAAAGCGTCCCACCTTCTGCAGTAAGTAAAGGGATATTTTCAGAGCCAGATGTTTTCAGTTGACAGACAGGGAGTTCACTTCAGTCCTTGGGACCAGAAGGCTGGATTTAGGGAAGTGGAAATGAGAGGACTGCTGGGGTTCTGTTTTGCATAGGTGTATGGCAGGGGTGCAAACCTCGGGTCCTTGGTCCCAAAGAAGTCTCTGGGATTCCCCAGATGGCCCCCATCCTCTTCCCCCAACCACTGATCTTTTGGTGTTTCCTGGGTTTTGTACCCTTTCTAAAAGATTGAAATGGGGCTTAATAAGAGCTCAGTAAAAAATTTAAGCTACAAGAGGATGTTATTTTTAAGGCTTTTGGCCTCTCGCCTTTCACCTTCCAGCTCCACCTAGCAATGGAATGGGACCCCCAGGAGCTTCTCTGAAAGGGAATTTGGTCCTCAAGGGAATTCAACACCCCCTGGTGTATATGGTCCATTTTGTATGGGGGTGGTGGAATGAGGATCTGGATCTGGAATGAGGATCCCCCCCCCCTTTTTTTTTAAATCTGGAATGAGGTTTTCCCTTTGTGCCACAAAGGGAAAAAGTTTGTGGCATTCCAGGGACTTCCATTGCTTAAACATCCACACACTACTTAAGGACATTTGTACATGAAGAAGCCAGGACTGCCATGCACTGTGGACTCAGCAGAACTTGTTAACTTACCTTATGTCTTTTCATCAACGACATGGAAGAAGAGGTGACCAGTCTGCTGATCAGATTTGCAGATGATACTAAAATGGGGCCAGTGGCCACAACTGAAGAGCAGGTAGTCCAGATCCAGAAGGACGACCTGCAGTGCAGTGTAGGGCCACAAGGAAGGTGGCCAGAAAGACCTGGACAGACTATGGAAGTGGGCATGGGACAACAGGATGGAGTTCAATGTGGAGAAGTGCAAGGCCTTGCACTTCAGGCATAGGAATGGGTGTCATGAGTACAGGTTAGGGGACAAGTGGCTGGAGAGCAGCACTTGTGAAAGGGATCTCAGGGTGCTGGTTGACTGCAGGCTAAACATGAGTCAGTAGTGAGATGTGGCAGTCAAGAGGGTGTACGCCACCCTTGGTTGCATAGCCAGAAGTGTGGCTTCTAGATTGAGAGGTATTACTACCACTCTATATGACTCTGGTGTGCCCGCAACTGGAGTATTGTGCTCAGTTTTGGTCCCCTCATTACAGGAAGGATATAGTCAGGTTAGAGGCAGTACAGTGTAGGGCCACAAAGATGGTGGCCAGATTGCAGGGGATGCCGTATGAGGCAAGACTGAGGGAACTGGGTCTCTTCAGCCTGGGGAAGAGGAGACTCAGAGATAATCTGTTGGCGACATACAGGTATGTGAGGGGGTGTCACACGGAGGTGGGTAGAGACCTTTCTTCCCTGCAGAGGAGGGCAGGATGCGCTCCAACAGAGACAAGCTCAAGGAACCAAGGTTCACTTTGGATGCCAGGAAGCACTTCCTGACAGGACCCCAAGGGTATGGAATGGGCTTCCACAGGAGGTGGTTGAGGCCCCATCGGTGAGGGTGTGCAAGGATAGGCTAGACATGCACATGGTAGGCATGTTGTGAGCGGAACCGGCTGGAGCTGAGGGTCAGACTAGATGGCCCAGGAGACCTTTTCTGACTCGCTGTTTTTATGTTTCTACCTGTGCACCTTCATATGTACTCACATGCATTGCCTTGTTCAGAAGTGAGCTGAAGTTGGTTAGAAATTCTGTGTGAAGCACCCCCTCTACATTTCCCTTTGCTGTGGTCCCGAGTTTACCCTGAGAGAAATCCAGATTACACAAACATTTGCAAATATATCAAATTCAACTTTTCTTGGCACAGATTTCATTGTTTAATGGCAGAGTATATGCAGCCCTGCAGCAGCCAGTCACTCTGTCTCTAGCGTAATGGATTTTCTTCTGGCAAGGCAAGGGCTGTCTGGCTGTTTAATCCAACACTAACATTAACCAATCATGGCTCATCCTGTCTCCTCAACCAGCAAAGGAGAGATTTTTCATGCAATTCACCCAGATCTACATCAGCATACTCAGACTGAGGTCTGCAGGCCATCTCTCTCCCTCCCTGGTTCCCAGGTGGCCTGGCCCCGTCTCCTGGCATCACCCCTGTCACCCAACTACTCATCATTCCATGTGGTTTCCCACCTTCTGCAGTTTTCCCATCCTAAAATGTTGAAAGGGCCCTCCAAAGACTTAGTTACTGCTAAACTAGGCTGGTGTTTGGGGCGGGGGGGGGTGGCTCTGCCCCTTTTAGCTCCCCCCATTCCCTCCCCCTGGAATGCACCACTGGAATTCTCCAAAACTGCATTCTGCCCTCAGGTTGAAAGCAGCTTGACACCACTGGCTGAAATAACATCCAGGCTACAGGAGGGAATGTGAAAGCAGGGGTGGGCAGCATGGAAGGAATTTACTTTGCACCAGCAAAAAGAGAGGCTCTTGTATGGTGGTTGCGACGCACCTGGTATTTGCATGACGGTGTTCTCAGTGCAGTAACTTTTGAAAGATGGAAGATCTACCACTCTTGACTCAAAGCAATTACTACGTTTCAATAATCTGCTGACTCCCATCACAGAGTATTGGAATTCCTTGGCCCACCCACAACAACACCCTATGAACTCGGTGCCTGCTTTGTGGAATTGCTCCGAAAAAGAGAAGTGCTTCGAGGGCTTCACTGTCTCATTCCCACCGGTGAGCAAAGTTCTGTGGATGCGCCACATGGGCAGGGGCGGGACCATCACATCACACAGTGGTCCAGCCTCTGCCTTTTTTACAAGGAGCATTCTTGGTCCTTTCCTAATGGGATTGTGAAGGGAAAGAAAGTGGCTTGACTCCCAGATCTGCCATATTGGCCGTGGTCAATATTCCATGAAAATCAGCCACCTTGCCTCCAAGGAAGGTCAACGCAGAATGCTTGATGGATGCCTCACCAAAAGTGCACACTTAGCAAAACAGGTACGGAGCTCTCTGTCCATTCCTCTGTCATCCAGTTGTAGCTCCTCACGGTCGGCAATTTGGCAGTCTCCTGGCTGGGCTGCTGCATCTCCTGACTTGCGCAATCGCCACTGATGGGTCTTTCTTCCAGTGTGGGTTTGTAGAATGCTACTGTCCTTTACCAAATCCATCGGGAATGGTTTCCACAGGTGAATGGCTACTGCAGTACTTCCTTTTGTATGTCTGGAACCTTCTGCTGGTGAGTGTGCCATTACTGACCTACAACAGGGCAAAGGAGGGACTCCTGTAGATCAGGAAAGCGTTCACACAAAGGGAATCGCGGGGGGCTGCCCCTCCTTTTCTTGTCCGCGCAGCTCCCTGCTTTCACCGCTGATACAGCTTCATGATGCCACCCTGGTGTAAGCTCTTCCACAGCTCTGCCTCTAATAACATGTCATGGTTGGCATAGAACACCAAAGGCTTCTTTTCACGATCATAGTAATGATCCGAAAAAGTCTTGTAATTTTGTGTGATGAATCCATAAGCACTGACCTAAGGGAGTGGAAGAAACAGGTAACAGAATGAGTGAGAGGTGGGCATGGAGCGATACCCATCTTTTTGTGTGCAGGAGCACACTCCTTGGTCCATCTAGGCAGGTGTGGTCAACACGGACCAGCAACCTCTCTCTGAGGTTTCAGGCAGGAGCCTTTCCTCACCCTGCCTGGAGAAGGAACCTGGAAGTTGGACCTTCTGTGTGCAAAGCAGGGGCTGTGCCCCAGGCACGCCTCCTTGGCACCACCAGGCTCAAAGCTGCTGCATACTGAATGGCAAGCAGCATGAAGGTCATGCCAGAGTGCCTCATGCGTCCCTTCTGCCTACTTTTGAAGAAGACATTAGTCGACTTCCTCCACAGAAGTTCTAAAGACGCGTGGAACATCTCATGAGGGACGTGCACGTGCAGGTTAGCTTTAAGTGTGCGAATCATCAAAAGCATCTTCACCACTTGCGAAGCCACACTCCCAAATAATTCTAAAACACTACCCTTTACTGGATGCCAGCAAAGGTAATGCTATAAGTGAAGGGGGAAATGGTCAGGAGAAGGGATTCTCTGTGATTGCACCCCATTTATGGAACACCCTTCCCAAGGAGATGTGCCTGGCACCATCCTCCTCACCTTCCAGTACCAAGTAAAGCCTTTTATATTTAACAGGTGTTTTGTTAGCTAAACTGGTTTTTAACATTGCTTTAATTTATTGCTACATGATCGCTGTGACTGTTTGCCATGAATATCAGATTCTGTATTCTTGTCTCGCTTGTTTTATTGCTGTTGTTTTTATTGCAAGCCACCCAAAGAGCCCTTTGAAATATGGGGCAGAGGATGAACGGATGAATGGTCTCTTACCTGATCACAGGTATGCAGTGCTGTTAACAGCATAACTGCTCCAGTGCTGGGCATGTAGAGATGCCCAAACTGAGTCTTTATTAATTCTGATCTTAAAAACCTGTGCAGAGAAAGAAAGAGGAGTATAGCAGAGAACCAGCATAGCATAGTGAGAGTGCTGGACTGAGGAGATCCAGGTTCTGCTCCCCACCTAGCTGTGAACTGGGCAACTCTGAGTCATTCACTGACTCTCAGCCTACCTCACAAGGCTGTTGTGAGCATGTGATGGAGATGTAAAAGATGTATGTTAGCCACCTTAGGTTTCTTGCAGAAAAAGTGGGTTATAAATAGTAAAAAAAAATAATTCATGTAAATAAAACTTTAGGGACTATTGGAAAAGATGGAATAGTTCATTGGCTGCTCCATGAGCGGCAATGAAATAGGCCATATAAGAATCTAGCCAAAAAATAAAAATAAAAAATAAGGATTTCAACTGTCCAGCCTACTTATTTCCACGGTTTCCACAGAGACATGTTTTCCAGTGTGTGAGAGAGCAGCACTATGTGCCCACCTGCACATCTGCATTGACGCACAACTTCCAAACCTTTGTGTTTCCGCAACCTTGGAGCTCCCACACTGTGCAGTGTGCCCTCCTGAACAACTCCAGTGTCTCCTGATCCCTCATCTCTGTCCTTTCCCCCAGCCCATCAGCCATGAATTGCAAACATTATGGGCTTAAAAATAAAACCCTGCATCAGTATAACATATTCACAAGGGACTACACATCTTTCTAGCTGGAAAATTAATTCAAATACAGGATATGTGTTCTTCCATCCCCACCTACCTCTCTGCTATGAAAGGTACAGCTGGTATATTTGTGATTATCGAGTTTCTAATTAGATCTATTAAAGGCAAGCTTTGTTGCCATTTCAAAAAATTACCTTTCTGTTAGATAATACATGAATTCTGGGTGCAACAACTTGAACTTTCTTGAAGAAGCTTCAGGTCCAAAGTATTTATGTGGCCTGTGGAAATCAATTTTAAAAATGGTTTAGTGATGTGTCAGTAATTAACAGTACTCAATTAATCCCATGACTAGAAAGGACCCAGAGTGCGTAAGCAGAACAATGGCACTATTTGTCAGCCACTTTGATGTCTGAGAAAAGCATCATCAGTGGTGGGGAAATGATACAGCTCTCCAAATGAGTAGGGGTGTGGCATTTTGGCACCCAGATGGGACTCCTTGGTCCACCTGTAAGCAACCTGCAGGTACGTGTCCTGGGAGACCTTCAGTGTGGCCTGCGCTGATGTCTGAGCCACCTCTCACAGCCAGGCTTGGCCACTTCCCATAGTAAATTGCACTCCTGCCAGCCTGCCAAACAGCTACGATGAGGAACAGTCATCCTCCCGGGAGAGTCATCCCCATGTGCCATCCTCCCCGTGGAAGTGGCGCTCCCACGCTTGGCTTGCACCAAGCAACTGTTCGTGTGCCCGCAGGATCGTGCCTGTGATGGGAAGGCTCTCCTGCTTGCCAAATGTGCTCCCCGAGGTCTGAGCTATGGGGGGAGGGGGGTTGTGGGCATCTCCGTGAGGGATACAATGGCGGAAGGAGCGATGGGAGGACAGTGTGCTACTTACTCATCACGCTTATCAGAGCCCTCTGGAACAGGGACGCCCAGCACAGCGGATCTCAGCATGATGTAATCACGGATATCCGAGGGAATGAAAATGTACCTTATGTCCTGCAGCAAGACAGGGGGAAACAACAGACACAAAAGAGGTGGCACAGAGTGGTGCACTGTCAAGTCATCTTGATCAAGGTCCCACTAGCCAGCCAGCCAGCCAGCCAGGCCCGTTTCTCGAATACTCCATTTCATTGCCACACACAATGCTCTGCAAGGCAGTGAACATGCCCAGGCCTCGTTTGCACTGTTTTGTGCAGGCCCCTTCCCAATTCTTTTGTACTTCTGCAAACTTTGGAATTCTTTTTCCTTGTCCATGGGTGGTACTATTTTGGCTCTGTAAATACTGGCAGTCAGAGAATGAGTTTACTATTAGCATATTTGATGGGCTGCTACATCCAATTAGCACAGTCTGAAATATCAGGAGGGTACTGTCTTGGGTAACAGTTAAGCAGGACAACAGCCAGGGCCCCAGGTGACATGAAATACTTTTTTGAAGTCCATCCCCACCTGCTACAAGTGGCATCACCATCACAATGACTCTCTTCCCACCTCTTTTCTTTCTTCTCTCCAAGTTCTCAGGCAGAGGATCTTTCCCAGGCCTACTTCCTGAGATCGATGCCCTGAAGAGGCTAAAGGCTGAACTCAGGATGATATGCACAGAAGGCATCTCCTCCACTCTGCACTTCCCATCAATCGAAAAGCTTTAAATGGCAACTGCCAGCCAGGCCAAACGATCTGCGTTGCACTGGGGCCTCATGAAGCTCAGCTCATCTTAAGGCCCATCTCCACACCTGAAGAACAATATCTTAACTAATACCTTGGCTTGTGGCACCTGGGTGAAGCCATCTTCTGCATAGGCAATCAGGGAATTCTTCATCGTGTTGACAGTGAAGCCATAGAAGGAGGTCTTCGTGCCAACATCTTCCTCAAAGCCTTTGGTCACTGCCCCATTCAGCCTGTAAGGCAATGGGAGAACAGAGATTCTGAGGAACACACTATGGCCGGCTATGAGGAACAACTAAAGGTCCCAGCAGTCTGAGTTTTGGTTTGGAAAGGGTTAGAAAGGGGATTTCAGGAAGGCTTTTAACCCCCATTCTGACATGGGTTCGAGTTTGGGCTTGGGCCCCTTCCCAGAGATGTGGGTTGCCAATGTCATTACCTGAAGACAAAGTCATGAGCATCGATCTCCTTGCCTTGGCGGGATCCATTCAGAATCCCCCCATTCCCGACCACAGCGCAGCGAATGCAGTTGTCCGGAAGGCCGATCCTGCTGAAGAGCCTGCTGTTGGCAGAGCTGTTGAGGAGCTGCACTGTAGATGCGATCGCTGCAGAGTAAAGCAAGAGGATGCAAGTCAGACGGAGGGGTGGCAGGAAGCGCCAAGTCCAGGGACAGTGTCAGGGGCGTCTGCTGAGGGCCCACCCCCTCCACAAGACCCACAGAGCTCCGTGACCTTGCTCTGCCTTGTCGCCACAAGAACCTGCTTGTCCGCCTCCCTCTTGCCCTGGCCCAGACAAGAGCGGGGCCTGCAGTGAGGTGGACATGCAGCCCTTGCAAACCATAACAGCTTCCTAAGAGTACGTAGCTTTTTCTTTCTTGCCCCCCCTCTTTCCTTTCATGCATGGAAGTCATGAAACTGGGTTGAAATGGCCAATTTTTCTGGCAGGAAGATTTGGTTAGTAGGCTGAAACATACTGGAGGCTTTCCACTTGCCCTCCCCGCTTGCAAATTCTGCAACAAAGCTAAAGGTAAATCAGGACAGAGCTGACTTCCCAAAGGTTTCCCCCATGACCCTGCTGAGTATGCCTAAAATCATTGCTCTAACCCTTCACAGAAAGGGCTTACGGCATATAAGGAGTCGAGACGAGGGACCCTAAGAGACCGCAGAGCCTCATGGCCTATGCCAGCCTTCCCCATAGCTCCCAGCTGGAATGCTTCAGCTGCAAGGTGCTTTTTTGAAAGTTTCAGCAGTGGGTTGTGGAACGGAGGATTGCTCTTCTGGAAACATAAGCCCAAGTCTCCTCCCGAGTTAGGGAACTAGCTGCAGTTTTCATCTTTGCCATGAGCAAGTCTTTGGTAAGCTCATGGGTCTTATTTGCCGTTCAAGACCAAGTCCCCACCTCCCAAATGCCTTGCATTACAACAAGGCACAATGCATTGTTGCTGGGAAAACTATTTTCCTCCCACCTACTGTGAAAATATCAGCATGCTCAGAGGGAAGTCTGAGGGGGTGGGGTTGGCAGACTCCCCAGAATCCCTGCTAATCGAAAGTGTTGGTGCTGCATCCCTGCAAACCTTGGGTCTGCTACACCCCTGGAGCAAGCACGTATACCCGGCAAGAATGGACGTGTGAGTGTTCAGAAGGCCTTCCTCTTGTCTCCGGGTCTGTGGGTAGGCGAGTTCAACATGATGCAGGTGGGACGGCATTTGATCTTTTGGCCTGAGCACTGCGAGCCTCCGTTCTTCCAGGGGTGAACTGCCACCCATTTGCCTTGCGTACAATGAGCTAGTTGGAAGCAAAGCATGTGGGGTACTTGGTGGGTGCTGGGAAGGCTGCTAGGGGAAGGATCCTCCCTGGCATCGGGGAGCTGAATATGCCACACAACTAGCCCCTCTGGAGTTCTGTAGGTCAATGGAACGTTCTTGAGTATACCCTATTTTTCCATCTATAAGACGCCCCCATGTATAGGATGCCCCCACTTTTCTTACCAATCTCCGAGCAAGCAAGCTGCCGCGAGCGCACCCGCACCAGTCTCCCACCCCCCCGAGTGCGCCAGCGATCATGCCAATCCCCCCCAAGCACGCCCGTGCCCACCTCCGCCCAGAGCACACCTGCAATCATGCCAGTCTCCCCCCAACCCCCGGGCGTGCCCACGGTTCTCCTCTCAGCCCCTGTGTACAAGACGCCCCTCCATTTTTAGGTAAATATTTTAAAGAAAAAGTATCGTCTTATACATGGAAAAATACGGAACTTCGAGGATGTTCTTCTTCCCACCCAACAAGAGGAAAGGCTCCTTGTTTGTTTCTCCAGCACCAGCTATGAGCAACCTTTCCTTTGTGGGGGTGGGCAGATTGTACTGTTCAAAAACCTGATGACTAAAATTAGTTGTTGACTAAAATGTAAGGGTTTGGCCCTGAGCTATATTTACTCTCAGTAGCCCTTTTTTGTGTTAGCTTAAATTCTTGCCAGCAAAGGTGACAGGTTTGTTTGTCTTTCACTCTTCCTTTGTTCCTTATCTTTCCCTTCCTCCAGCTAGAAATCACCTACCTTTCCCACGTGATCAGAAACAGAGGATCCCAAGCTGGTAACTGGAGTGGCCATGTGTCCTCTTTTATAGAGGACTGCCCTCTACTAGAAGCCATCCTCCATTTGAAGGGCTGCCCTGTCCAATTCCAGTTTACAGATGAAGAACAGTAAGAACTGATACCCATCACCAGTTAGCACCTGGACAGCCGGGTCCACAGGCAAACGCACTGGTCTCCTGGCCACGGTTTTCTGCACGGTATTTTATTTAAAGTTTAGCAATTATTTCTAAATATCTAGCCATATATAAACATGACTCTCTACTAGCTCCTTTTTGGCCATTCAGAAGCAGCCACCCAAGGGGTAACTAATTTATTCCGAGGCAAGGTTTTCACATGGCCCGCCTCCAGCAGTCGCTCCCTGCAGCCAGCCTGCCCCGCTGCCAGCCTGCCCCACTGCCGCTTCCTTCGCCACCCCCCTCCATGCAGAGCAGGCGCGTCCCTTGTTCTCTTGGCCCCACAATTCAGGACACTGCTGGGCCAGGGAGACCGTGTGCCTGGCAAGCAGAGAAGAGTGGGCATGGGGTGGGAAGTGAGGTAACTCCCAGGGGCCAAGGGCCAGCAGCCACAAAGCAGTGGCCTGCGCCAAAGCTGTTGGTTCCAGTTGATCATCGCAAGGGACGGTGGGACCTTTCATTCAGGCAAAAGTCACAAGATTCTTGATACCAGCCAAAGACTTCCGTCTCCTTCCAGACAGGTTTTTGAAAGGGAAACCACAGGCTGTGTGAATTTCACTATTACACTTGCAAATGCTAAACAGTGCTGACCAGAATCTTTAGGTGGGGTGGGAACTTCTTTGGAGTTTTGCAGCAAATAGAAGAAGAAGCCCCCCACCTTTACTTTTTTCTCTTCCGTTAGTCATTTCTCAAGTTATTTAGGCCACAATCCTATGCCCACTGTTGTGGGAATAAGCCCTATGGAACTCAATGGGACTAGCTTCTGGGAAGACATTTATCCCACCTTTTTTCCTCTTGCAAGACACCCAAGGCAGCTTACATAGTCCTCTGCTCCATTTTATCTTCTCCACAACAGCCCTGAGAGGTAGGCTAGGCCGGGAATGAGTGCCTGGCCAAAGGCAGCCGGGGAGCTTCAAAGCCGAGTATGGACTAGAGCCCGGGTCTCCCAGGCCCTCAGTCTCACACTCGCACCACCACACCACCAGATGATCGCACTGTGAGCCAACAGTGCTTCAGAGAAACAAGGCAGCTGTTTGGTATATAGAAGTGGATAAATCCACTGAACATGTACAACCGAACCTGCAACAAAACAAGCTTGTAAGGGGCCACAAGAAGGGAAGCTTCTTTCCAGCTAAAGAAATTACAGCAACTTCCACTTTTGCCCTCACTTTTTCACATCTGAATGAGTGCGCTGTGCCCTTCCCCATGAGAACTAGTTGCGTGACTGGTTGGTGGGAAGCCTCAAGAAGCAGCAGGAAAGCAGGAGCACAAAGCAAGGAAAGAGGCATCGAATACAGTGGTAGGTAAGAGGCGTAGCTGCTACATACAATGGCAACATCTATGGCAGGGACAGGCAACCTCCAGATGCTTTGGACTACAACTCCCATCAGCATGGCCAATAGTCAGGGTTTATGGGAGCTGCTGGCCACCTCGCCTGAAGGGCACTGTGTCGCCTCTATGGGCTTTTGGTCCTTTAGGTGGGTCAGGAGCTGCTGCTCAGGCTGACTCCAGCCTGCCTTTCCCACTCTCCAGCAATGCTCCTCGGGGCCACAACAGATTGCACTAAATGTGTAATTCAGCATTTCCTTGGAAACAGCAGCCAGTCGCAGAGCGATCAGGGCTGGGACTGTGGCACATGGGGATGTTAATCCTTTCTTTGCATGCTGCAGTCTCGATCGAGCCTGCACAAGCTGCCGATTCCCTTGGGACAGCAGCTTTGGGGGAACCTTTGTTTAGACCACAGCACTGAGGAAAGAACCAGCCCTTCTTCCCCATCCTTCCAGGTGGGGACCCCACAGCTGTTACTCTGCACAGGGAATGCCCAACTATGCCAACATGTACAGTCTGGCTTGGCCACGGATTATCACCCTTCCTCCCAGCAGGAGGAAGTGGATCTGCGTTGAGGCCCCATCACCCCTGCAGAGAAGTTTTCTTTTGGGCAGACAGCAGTCCTCCTGTGTCAGGCCAGTGAGCAGAGCTTTGAATTCCTCAGCATTATCACAGGCGTGATCCACTGAACTAGACACTGATCTAAAAGTAAAAATATGTGAACAGACAGAAAGGAAAGGTACACCTGAAAGCTACGAGGCCTCAAATCCTTTTGTAGGATGACCCAAGCAAAAGTCCTGAGAGAAGTATGCGTTCTTGCTTTGGGTCAAATCACAGTACTTTTATCCAGCTGGCAGGCACAAGAAAGTATGTGGTTCCCTCTATATTATAAACACGTGGTTCCCAGTCAACAAAAAGGCCCAGGCAGCCGTGGTTATCTTGCTCCCGTCAGGACTGGCTTTCTGTGATTTGTATCCCAGCCACCTACCCCTTCTGGATCAGGCCAAGGTGAGCCTGGCTCAGTGCTAAAGCCATCGGGTCAAATGACACGACTCCCCCATTCCCAAAAGCCCCCTGTGCTCTGGCACGATCGTTTTCTGTCTTCCCCTTCCAGCCCATTACCTGCATACGGCAAACCACGCCAGCCATAGGGGACGTTGCGCTCCTTCAGTCGGTCCCACGTCTCGGGGTTGAAGTGCTGCTTCCACATCAGCACAGGGATGTCAAAATCAAACCGCTTCCCGAACACGGGGTTGCTCTTCGCTTTGGACTGCAATGACCGGGGGCACAAGCTGGACTGAGAGAGGCTGGGAGTGAGTAAACCCTCATGCAGGAGATGTGAACGGCAACACACGTGTCTTTGGAATATTTGCTCATGCAGATCACCTGGAAGACTGACGAAGTGCATCCTCAAGAAACCCACCATGGCAGATCCCAACATTATATGCAGGGGCTCTAGACTGCAACACTATAAACATGTGGGGTTGGATCCAGATTTAAGCCATCTTTAAATAGACTTAAGCAGCTTTCGGTTGACTTCCTCTCCCTCTCCTTCCCGTGGCAGCTTCTCCAGCCCCCAACAATGCTACAGAGAATCAGGAGACGCTGCTGAACGGGGCCCCTGATCTGCATTGTCTCTAAGGGACAGGATTGCAGAAAGCTGGGCCCTTTCTCCTGTGGAATGTTTCTTCTCTGGGGTATGGCAATTCCTGCTTTCACCCCGTCTCCAATTTCTGCAACCGGGAAACTCACGTTCTGTAACTGGGATAAATTACGCAAACTGAGAAGAAGCCAGGCTTGAGAGGACCTCTTGCTATCTTGCTTGCTGGGCGCACGGTGCAGTGTGGATGGGCACCTGTGCCCAGGCGTCTGGGCTAGAGGGACAGGCGGTGCTTCACCTGGACTGTGTCCCTGTGCTAACCCTAGTGTGGAATAATCCCTGTCCACCTCGTGAATTGAATCAGTGCATCCGATCCCTTAACTGCCGGAGAAGTGATCCCTGGACTCCAGTGGCTGTTAAAATTGCCAGTGGGCAGCAACCGTTGGGTCCAGACCAGAGCGTTGAACCCTGGGCTCATTCTTTTGTTAACTCCTTGCTCAAGTGAAACAAGTCAGTTCAAGTCAGGGTAACACGTTGTGTAACATTCATGTGACATTTTTCTTCGCCTTGTGTCAACTGTTGCCATGGAAATGTCCCTGCTATATCATCCCGAGAGCTAAATCCTAACCTGGGGAAGGTTCAGGGCCTGCCCTCTATTTGTGGGTGGGTCAAAAGCAAAGGAGTGCCAAGCGTCCGCGTGCCCACTCAGGAATAAGCGCGGGCAGCCTCGGAGGAGGCCAGCCAGAGGCTCTCGGCAACTTCCTCGCCTGTCCCTGGCTCCCGGGCCAGTGCTAGGTAATGAAAATATCTAGGGCTCAGCTCTCAGGATAATGAACAGAACAAAAGAAAATACTAAAACCCCACAGCGTTGCATATGCCAATGCTGCAAAGTCCGTGGGGGGGCACCTCTATTGTAAGAAAAGGAAGGTATGGCCAGGAGAGGGGGACATTCTTTGTTTCCAGGGAAGAGGCTCAGGCAGGGTGGGAGGAGGCGCAGCAAGAGGTGAGGCACACGTGGACTTCAAAAAAGCCAGCCAAGCCAGGAGGAGCCAAGCACAGGAGATCTTCATGGCCGCTCCATCTGCAAGCACTCACGGATAGGGGGCTGGTGGGCAGATGGCCTCCCAGAGGGTCGGGGCTCCAGCCCTCGTGGGACACTGCCTGCCACCACCTTGGCTGCCTCCTCCACAGGCATTGCCCACCCTTGCCCTGCAGGGGAACATCCGTTCATCTTGACGGGCAGCTGCTCCAAGGCAAATTGTTCTGGCAGCATAAAGACGGCATCTCCCCAGGGAAGACGCTGGCCGGTTAGCTTACTGGTGCACCTCTGGCTCAGTGCTATGACTGGAACAGCCTAGAAAGTGGAGCTAGGGACCCGTGTTCGGACTGAACACAAGCAAAACACTGGTGAGGCGCTGGGCTAACGCACAGGTGGAGCTGTGATCGCAGGTACAGAGAGGGCGGAGAGGCAGGGCTTGTGAGGAGGGAAAGAGAATCGAGGCTCGGGGAGCTTTCTTCTCCCCTTGCCAGCTGCCTGGAGAGGAAGCCAGAAGGCAGAATGTATGAATCATGGAAGGAAAAAGCACAGAGAAGATGTATTACCCAGTCTTTTCTCAATGACTCTGTAAAATAGAATCCCCCAACATCCTGTAAGTCAGAAAATTCAGTGGGCAAAATGAAGCATGCCCAGTTTACTTCTATGGACAAAGGAGTCTGAAGTCATAGACTGAATAGCATTATAGACTCAAATACATAAGTTCTATTGCTGAGCACATTTGTACCAGTTGTATAAATTTTCATCCCAGCCACATGTATTCACATACATCTTTTTTCAGAAATGCTTTTTTTTTAACTTATTGATTTATTGAGGGGGGGTTAGGTTTTAGTAGTTTTTCTCCTGCAGGAAACCTCCAAAAAGCTAATAATAAACTTAAAATCATATTTTTATATGTGTATCATGAAATACACAGAGAGAACCTACCATTCCTTTCATTCTCTCAAAGCTCTGTGGAAGATAATCTGGGCTGTGCCAGACTGTTGAGTAACAGCCCAATTCCCTGTGTTCAGAACACACTTTCTGTGCTTACCCCTTGCATTCATTATGTGAGGACAAGGATATTGCTGGCTGTGTGGGTACTGAAAGGGTTTTTGCTGCTTTTTCTGAGTGTGTTTATAGCTTTCTATTGTATCGTGATGATTTTAAGGTAAGCCATCCAGAGAACCTTGGTTACAACAGCACAATAACAAAAAATAAAAGCATGGGCAAGAGAAAGAATCTGCCAGCTAGAAAGAGAAAGAATTTAGGTGAGGAACAGGGACATAGTCACTTATGTATGGGAGACCACAGCTGTTATTCTTTTCTTGAGCACAAGCCATGGCCTTTTCAGTCCTGGCCCCATATCTCTGGAACCCCCTCCAAAGAAAGCACGTTTTCATCCATCTTCATTTGCTTCTGAATGGATATAAATGACAATTTGTGTGTTTCTATCTACATTTCACTAAAAATGCTATGCTAGCCTTTTAAGGAGCTGCTGTTTGCAGATTCATAATTGTATTGTTAGGTATGGGAAGTATCCTTTTAATCTCTGCACCTTCGCGTGTTCTGTCCTGCCTGCGGGAGCGCCCGCCGGTGCAGCACGGTGAGCACTTCCTTGAACAATCCTTGAAAGGGCAGCGTCACTCACTTCCAGAATAAGACAGGTTCCAAAGCTCCCTTCTGCAAGCTTCACTGACCTACCCCATTCCAGAAGAAGGGTTTCCAGTTGCTTCAGGAACAGCTACGTAGCTTCCCATTGTACCACTGGTGAATTCCACTAGCATACTGGCAGCCTTTTGTCTTAAAAGGTGGCATATAGATTTCTCACAAAAAACACAACAGGCATTTCTCCAGGTTGCCCATCAGTTTCTGGGCAGCTACATTTCCCCTGTAGATTACCACACTGGGCTGATGGGGAAAATACAATGTCTAGGTTCAGAAGCTGTTTTAACAGCAAGTACACTAAATCTGAAGTGGGCAGAAGCTATGTGGAGAGCTACTCATAGATCTCTCAGATTTGCAATTGCTCAGCAAGGATTAGTTTGGCTCTGGCTACTGAGCAGTATAAAAATGAAACAACAAATAAATAAATTAGAGCTCTTCTACAGAAGACTGTTGATCTGTTGCTAATCCACTGCATATACTTTAATTTTCCCTGCAGAGTTGAGATCCACGCATGACATGAGGAGCTTTTCTGCTACCTAACCTCTAGGTTGCACTGTGCTATAGTGGTATGTCACAAATGCACACACGGAAGCTGCACTTTCTTGCGCTTTCACAATTAAATGCTGCATTTTGCCTTCTCTGAATAACAAAAACTCACCGTCTAAAGAACCCATGAACAACTGTAAGAAGTTATTGAAAGCACGTGATAAATAATCCCTTGCATTCGAAAACCTTGACTGACTTCCAATAACGGCAATAACAGGATGACTGCCCTCATCCCTCGAATTACACAGCTGGAATGAAGAAAGCCAAGTGTGGATTTTTGTGTGAAAGGACTGTGGGCTCCATTTAGTTCTGGTACTCAAATTTTGGGGCTCAGGCTTTTTAAATTCCAAGTATGTCTTTTGCACCTGGATCTAATTAGTGGATTTTGCCGATTTAGTAAAAAGCAAAGTAGAATCCACAAGCCTGAAGACTCCCCTTCCCTGTCCTAAGTGACTTTGGGCATGCCACTACCTGATAGTTTAAGATTCCCTGTGATAAAGCCTAGGAATAAAAATAATACTTGTTTTTCCCCTTTCTTGATGGGAGTGGGAAAATCTAATTGAGCAAGCTATCTTAAACATTTTGTACATGAAAAGGCTATATAAATTATTATTATTAAGTGCTGGATTCCTTTGAGATGGGAATGCAAAATTCTTAGTATGAAGGATGTGCATGTTTTACCTTCTCCTTGGGGTGATTTGGGTTTTCTCCTTTAGATAACTCTTTGGTTGGGTTCCCCCTAGAAGTAAAGCACGCAGGTAGTAAGTATAGGTATTCACCCCCAAAACTTTGTGCTGAAATACCTTCCTGGACCCAACAGCTCTTTCTGAGGCAACTTTCCATTTGCTAGGCTTCCAGACAGAATTCTTGGATGCAGAGATGAAGTTCTAGGCCTGCCATTCTCGGGCAGCGGGTAGTTTCACTTCAATAAAGCAAAGGGGTGGCTTATTCCTCTGACCTAAGGTTGGCGCGCTGATTGCAGGGGCAAAATCTGGCACACGAGTGATGTGACAGACCGGGATAAGCAATTGCTGAGGAATCTGCAGTCATGATGTGCAACAGCCTGCATCATTAATCTACGGGAAAAGAAAGGTTGTCAGCTTGGCTTAGACTGAAAAATTTGCATGGTGTAAGTTTGGGAGAAGAAGCCCAGGGACAAAGAAGCTGAAGGAAGGCATGGAATGGGAAAGAGGAATATGGGGAATGGGTAATAGTAGAATAAGCTACAAGGGCAACAGCAGTTAGTGGAGTTTTCAAGTGGATAATCAGAATTATAATCTGAAAAACCTTATGGCACAAGGTCAGCAGGGGCTGTGTGCTATGGGAGGAAGGAGAGAGACATACCAAGGTGACTCCTCAATAAACAGAGCAGCTCTTAACAAAGTGGAAGGATGTCGGTGTGTAAAAAGCAGACCCTGAGTGTGGTGAGACGTGGAGATGGGGATGTCAAAATGAGGAAGATTAACCCACATTTGCCTAATCCTAAAACTGGCCACGACTCCATACACATTTCCTTGTCAAAAAAACAAATGCAGAGATTTGCCAGAATGTTTTAAAAAGAAAAGTGTTTCTTTTGACAATTGTCACAGATACGTTAGTGAAAAGGGGACAGCTTCATGATTTTTGTTTTCCTGAGTAGCTTGAGGCTCAGGAGTGGAAGGAAAAAATGGGGACACTGCAGGGCTGACACACAAAATACTCTGAGGTTCTCAGGGTGAAGTGGGGGAAGTCAAGATCCCATCCATGTGAAAAGATCCCTCATGGCTTTGCTTTCCCATGGGAAATCTCCATTTGACAGCAGTCAGGCTAAAGCCAAGTCACAAAATAACCAGCCGGCAACATCTTTTGGCCAATATCCATGGTTGATGCCTATTACGGTTGGTCAGCAGGCACCTAACAAGGCATTGCCCAAGCAAGCCTTTCCAGTTTGGTTATTTGGGGCTGCACAGTTGTGCAACTGTGGAAACCCGGCAAAAAAAGGACAAATGGCACACAGCCAGTTGTGCAAATAGAGGTAGAAAAATAGATGGCGAACCAGTGGCAGCCCCTCCAGTAAAGCCACCTGGGCGTCTGGAGGATCTATCAATGGCTGTCACTTCACACAGTATGAAAAGGGATCTCCAAAACTGGGGGTGGGGAAGTGGTGGAGGGAAAACCACAAGCAGCATGAAAAGGCTCGTGATCACAGTGAGGAGAGGGCGCCTCCTGGAGGGCTGGGGGGTGGGAAGGAGAACTACCAGTCAACCAGTCGGTGAGCCCTGTCATCTGTCAGATGCATTGTGGGTTGTTGCCATGAAGAACTCCCACTGCATAGTTCATTCTCAGCATGGGCCACCATGCCATGTGAATTCAACCCACACTTGCCAGGTTTGCACAACAAGACAACCCCAAAATGGGCTTTGCCTATTCCAGGTGGTGGCCACTTGCTCTGCAGCCTCACCGTGGGTTTAATAGCCTTTTGTGGCCTGCCCTGTCATATGAAGAGCCCCGTTAATTTTAATCAATCAGCCAGTTCTTTGGCTACAGGCTACTGCTCCAGGGCTGCCACTGGTTTGACTAAATGTGTTAAGAGTATGTGATCAAAACAAAACTAGGGAAGAATGGCCTAGTCCAATCTCACTCACCTCTTCATGAGGCTTGCGCTCATCAGACCGTGGCTCCTGACATTATGGGGTATTTCTGCTTGGGCAGAGCCCAGTGCCTCTCGCTGTAGCAGCCTGCAAGACAGAAAGCAAGCAGAGCGTCTGAGGTGGAGAAGTCATGGACGGTGTCCTTAGATCTTGAGGGTTTCTTCTGCATGGTCAAGCAAGAACAGTGGAGGCTGAGCACAGCCTCTGCTAATGTGATATATGGGCCACATTAGCAATCTCCCTTGAGAAATAGTTAAACCCCGAAACTATCGAGAGATGCCTAATCCTTAACTTTCCCAAGAGGTGGCCATGCTAATCCTCTGCTGCATTTCATTTCCCTCTGCCCTGTGTACAAACCTCCTCACCCCCTGCTGAGGCATGTTGATATATACCTGTGACTTACAACAAAGTTTCATGTATCTGATAAGGTGATCTGCAATCCATGAGGGCTTATTCCATAATAAATTGTTCGTTCGTACGGTGCCACAAGGTTCTTTGCTGCTAACGTTTAAGGTAGACTGCCCTCTCTACAGCTTTGCAGATGGTTGCTTGGACTTCCTGTCCATTTCACCTTCACTTTAGCTTCTAAGCCTTGTTGTCATCAGTTAAAGTAACTAGCCCAAGAAACGAGCTCAGCTCGCGACACCATACCAAGAGTGCAGCTCCCCTAAAAACGCCGAGGTTGTGAGTGCATGTACATGTGAATTGAATTACAGTGACTAAATCTTGACCTGCTGCATAGCTCAGTGCCAAGATCTCACAAAGCAAGGCTTATGAGATTTTAGATTTGAGCTATCTAGCTGCCAGATTTAATGAAAGTTCTTAATTAACTCATAATTAGCTTCTATGTCTGGAAACCCCTTGGTCTGCCAAAGAATTTACAGATGCTGTGCAATTACGTTTTAGACTATTGTTAAGCCATAAGACATGGTGCTGTGGAGCAAATATTTCCAGGTTTAGTGTAAGACCTTTAGGAACAGAATCAGAATGAATACAAATCTCATATCCCAGTTTCGACAGTCCAAGGGCAGGCACACTAGCTCTCCTCTGCTGAATTTCCTAATACGTCTAGACAGCCCACCCAAGGCTGGTGTCTTCCGATGTGCTGCGCTGCAACTTCCATCATCCCCAGCTAGTGTGTTGCAGTCAACACACCTGAAGGCCGCCAGGCTGGGGCAAACCAGTTTGTTGACAAGCTACCCCACATGGTTTAACTGTGTTCCACATGGCCCGAGTTGGCAAGAGCGTGCAGAGTGAAGGAGAAAAAGGAGAGGGCGTCAAGGCCTGTGCCAGCAACATGCAGCAACCCTCTTAGGGCTAAGCTGAAGCTTCTCTTCACTCATTTTTCTTAACGGAGGTAGTGTGACTGGGGAATCCTTGACATTCACGAAAGCTCCAGGCAGGCAGTTCAGGAGAATTGCCACTTTCCCAGCCATGCCCTGTGGAAGATATTTTAGGAAAGGCGCATGTTAAACCTTATCGAACTACATCTCATCCAACTTTGCACTGTGCAGTTGACTGATATTATTCGACAGTGCAGGGAAGCTGATGACCAAAATGCCCAGTTGGTCTTTTCCCTCTTCAGACAGTCGCTGAAGAGGCCAGAAACAAACGAGAGCAGCTGGCCCTGATTCAGGGCCATTCTTGTGCAGCAGCTGGCTCCAGGCCTGAGGCCGCGCTTGATGGGCTCACACCTTCTCCCATCAAGCAGATGATTACAGCTGTCAAAACAGGCAGCACTGATGGCCTGTGGAAGAGGAACAGGCCCCGGACCCAGCTACACCCAGGAGATCAGAGCTGGCAATGCTGATATTGCTGATTTCCTGCCTGGAGGTGCTCCTGTGGTATGGGAACATACACCTGCCTCCAGGACGGGAGCTGGATTGAGGGGGGTTTGAATGCAGATGCACTTCTCTGGAAAGGAGTTAGCACACTCTGCATTAGTAGAATGTGAAATTCCAGTGCATATGGATAGAATTCTGATGTCCAGGTGTTTGGCATTTCTGCCTCTAATACTGTTGCGAACTCAGCTGTGCTATTATTCAAAGCCGCTTTTAGCTTTGGCGAGCCTCAGTCATTAACGATGGCTTATAGCTCAGATCTAGACGGCACGGCAGAGCTCGTTGGCCATTTGGCTCAGGACAGCATCAGGGGTTGTCATCGCTTGGCCTACAACCCTGCAGGGGGCCCACTGCTGATCCCTGGAGCCCCCTGGCCCTGCTCCCCCTTGGCTGTCACAGCCTCTTCAGCTGTCTTTGCAGAGGGGGCCTGAAGGGATGCACATGGGCTCTTCCTAATGGGGTGAGGATGGGGCCCAGGGGGGTCACAATAAGCAGCCAGGCAGCAGTGACCATGATGAGGAAGCCAGGGGCCAACCGGGGGGGGGGGGAAGCATCTTGCCCATGGGCACCTGGGAGTCTGGAGCCGCACTAATTTGGATGTTCAGCTCACATCTACTGGCACAGTAGAAGCCAGCTCTGAAAACGGGTCATTCTAAGTGTGAGCTGTGGAGGCAGGAAAGCTGCATGCATCAAGGATGGATGCACAGCTGACTGCTATAGCAGCTCAGAAATTTCTGGAGAAGCAGTGCTTGGGCTTCGGCATGCTGCTGTTTATTATTGTTGTTGTTGTTGTTGTTGTTGTTGCTATTATTATTATTAAAGGCTCCCATTGAGGTCAACCAGCACCCCCAGTCGGGTGCTGAACTACAACTCTTATCATGTCTGGCCAGCTGGCTGCAGATGATGGGGGCTGATGGTATATTGCTTCTTCACCCTATAATACACAGTGCTCCTGCCAATGTGTGAAAAGCACACATGAAGTCTCCAGTCTTCTCTCCTTGGAAGGCACACTCACCCTGTTAAAAACAAAAGCAAAGCCAGACCTGATTTTCAAGGGCCAGACTGGCATTTTCACACCTGTTTAAAAAGTGTGCAGGAGTAGCTTCTAGATCAGGGCCCCACAGTGCTTCTCTGCTGGAACTCTCCCCTCCCTGGCTACAATCGGTACTCAGGGGCACAGTATGAAGTGAACAGTATCTTCTGGGGCTCCCAAGGAGGGCCCATTTTCAGCCCAAGAATAGTATGACTTCTCATCTGTCTTGGAAGCACATTCCAGATAGAGACCCTAAGCTACTTTCTCTTCAAACTAAAAGTAGTCAGGTTCAGCACACTTTTTTAAGAAAGCAAACAACATCATTTGTACAGTGGTACCTTGGCTCATGAACTTAATCCATTCCAGGACTCTGGTCGTGAGCCAAGTCTAATTTCCCCATAAGGTTCACATGTAAATAAGGTTGACAACAACAAAGGTCGCGGCCCTCTCCCCCCTCACACACCCCGAGCACCAGCGCAGCCATCTCCCCACCCCTTCAGCCTGACCACAACTGTGCCTGTCATCCCTGCACGCACCAGTCATCCCGGTGCACTGGGGGGGATAGATGGGCACAATCCCAGGCGCGCTGGGGGGGGGGGGACGGGTGCAATCATGCTGGGGGAGGGAGATGGCTGAGATCGCAGTTGGGCTCATGCAGGAAAGATGGGTGCAATCTCAGCCATCTCCACCCCATCCCCCACCCCCAGAACAATCCCAGCCATCTCCCCAATCGAGGGGGTGGGCAGGCAGGGAGATCGCCACGATCACGGTCACCACCCAATGCGGAGTTCGCCACCTGAGTCACAATTTTAATGAAATTTTTGTTCGCAACTCGATTTGGTCGTGAACTGAGGCGTTCGTGAGCCGAGGCAGCACTGTACTTGGGCCCCGCGTTAAGCATGCGCAAGGGCTGCGATCCTCCACATACTGACCTGGGCGTGAGGCCCCCTGAATAGAGCAGAACTTAGGTCTCAGTATGTACACAAGCGATTATGCTGCATGTCTCCATTGGTCTGAAGTTCTCCACTGATTTATTTTGCCTGAGGTGTGTGGTATAGCCAGGCAACTCAATGGAAGTTTAGTTCATTCATACTCAATCATATTTGCTCTGACTAGGTCACAAGCGAAGTTTGAAAACACTGGAGTATTTAAATATGAAAATCATTACATTGTTGTACCTAAAAAAGCAAATGTGGGTAGCTGGCTCGTGCCAATGTGTTTTTCATCTGGTACATTTGGCTGGTACATCTTCACAGGGATTATTAAAGCACTTAACTGGTCTGAAAGCGGCTCTTTAGGGATCGCTCCCTTGTAAGTAGAAGCACACAATGGAGAGCTAGTGTAGCACAATGGCCAGCAGACTATGCTATGAAATCCCTGGTTCAAATGGGTAGGATCCAACAGTATCCCAGCACCCAGGCCAATGGCATTGTGCCAGTACGAACCAACACTTGATCAACTCCATTAGCACTAACCAGTGCAATGGGGAAAAGTGCCATAGCAGCAAGCCAAGGCGGGGTAGGAAATGGCCATTTCCCCCCGTCGTGCTAGCAAGTGCTGGTTACGTTGCACGAGGGTCGAGTTTTGCTTGTACAATGTCATTCGTGTTACCGCAGGGACACAGCAGGACCGTATATATTTGCTTGGTTTATAGACTGCTGAGTGTACAGTATACCCTCGTGAGGTCACGGTTCAGCTTTCACGGCTTCAGTCTTTCACAGGACTTTTCTTGGAGCGAGTCCAAGCTGATCTCCTTGCGAGTAAGCCGGTGCCTCACTGTGCGGTGACTTACTCACAAGGAGGTCGTTTCCTCTGAGTTTGGACTCGCTTAGAGAAAACGATCTCTGCGTGCACTCAACCCTGCCCCTGCCTCGCCACGCGCACGTGTGCCCCCCAGTCCAGCCCGCGCCTCCCGCCCACACCGCCTTGACGGCCGGCGCCCATCGCCGGCACCAAATTCATGTTTTTTCACAAATCGCAGATGCTTTAGGAATGTAACCCCCACAAATTTCGGGGGACTACTGTATTTTAAAATATCATTAAAGACCTCCCCACTTGGGGGTGCCTTAGGCAAACAACATTCAACCTCAATTTCTGCACATACGCACATCTTATAATATGAAGATAATAACACTGATCTACCTCATAGAGTTATTGTAAGCCCTGCAAGAGAATGCGCAGGAAACTCTAAAGCAGCCTTGCCCAACCTGGTT